AAATCTTCTCTTACTTCTCAATATACAAGCTGACCAACACTGCATTACCTACTCACAGATACCCAAAGAGGTAATCTTGCTGGTGCCAAAGTCACACAGGTCTAAGCTAATGAATAGCTTATTTAAGCGCATACTCGAGCATAGCTCCCAAGTATCTGATGTGTTTTCGTCCCGCGCTCTGCATGAGTATAGACAGATGAATTGTCAGAACAGGTAATGCTATGTGGCCTGAAAGCTGTTTTACCAAATCAATAATGTCGTGTGGCATACGCAGCTACTCCTAGACCAATCCGGTCAAAAAATCACTGCAGTGACGATATATCGCTGTCTCTCGCTAACAAATGATTATCACCATCCTCTAGGTCGATTTTACTAGCTGACCGTGCTGTTCGATAGCAAGCCTTTTTAAGAAGGCGGAATATTTGTCTGCGATGTGGTATCAATTATCTTACTATAAGCACCATTATCCTTTCTGACCAAGGAAGCTGGCGCCTCAGTATGAACCCTTATTTTTCATGAAACGCTCTTCATACTCTACTCGAAAAAAAGCGTCAATATCTTTTGACGACTTTTTTGATAAGGACCAATGCCGTGTTGCCCAATACTTGGTACCGAACATAATTCAGTTTGTGAAGCATCCCTCTGTACGAGATTGACATGCGAGAGAGATCTCTCGTCACCATGGACGGACATTTCTTTAAAGAAGAGAGAAGGGATCTCGAGTGTAGATGGCTTACACCTCGCGCTGAGTGCTATGCGAGTATCCTCAATGATAGATTCCATCATGACGGATGACAAGCTCAGATCATTCTTATGTACCAACCGCACAGCTTCGGTGACCTCACCATCTTGCAGTTCCTTTTACATATACCCAAGTGATATTTTTTCAGCTCAATACATGTCAGCCAAAAGCGAAGGAGGCACAGAAGGCGCATGTGTTTTGCCTTCCGCAAATGAAACTTCCTCGAGCACCGCGGGGATGCTCAGCATTAATAATATAAACTTCTCTTTTCATCCTCAGTATGGCTGATTTTCAATCGTCTTTGCCGCGCTGGTAAAGCATGCATTCTTGGCACCCCTAATGCCCCCGCGGTACAGAAGTGATACCTCGCACTGATTCGATATTCATCACTACCTGGCAAAGGTAGGGTGAAGTGAACGCAAAAAATTTCGGTGCACCTCCGGGAGAGGGTCAGACGCAATCGCGGCGATGTTATCCCTGGACATATTCCGCCAGCTTGTCAGACGAATACGAATTTTGATTACATCCGATTCTGCTGATCAGGCAGTGTGAACATTCGGGACATCTAATTTTCTAAATGTTTCCACGTTGGGAACGGCTCTATAACTGAGGTATTGCGAGTGAGTTCCCATTCTCGCACTCGGCTGCCCAACTTGGATCGCAAGCACCGAAGCTCCATTCTGAGTAAATTCGAATGTAAATCCATTTTAACTCCCACCACCAGTGGGAGGATGAGAGTCTCATCATCCTGGTCCTCAAAGGCCAAGATACTCAGCATCAATTGTTTAAGGGGGGAAACCATCCAATCTGACACCGGTATCCTCTGCGGGGGCTAAGATATTTCTCATTAACATAGTTTTGAGGCTGGTTGGCGGCTCCACGCGAGTGATCACCCCTTCTGGCCCTTTGGCGGTCAGTTTTTTGATCCCGACGGGACCCACGATCGATAAAAGTTCAATCAAACGGTCCGTTTGACACGCGGGCAGGTTCTATTCTCGCAGAGGATACGGCTCTTCCACGCCTCGGGTCGTGGGATAGACAACAAGTGCTACCAGGGAATTGGGACTCCGTGCGTTTTGCAGGTTCGTGCGCTCCTTTCAGAAGCGGTATCGAAAGCTGTTCTTTTGAAAAGCATATGTATTCAGGGTGTCTCTCTGCTCATTCTGTTTCCGGTACTCAGAATATTCACAATTACACTAAATGTAATGTGAATTTCGTACAATTGCACCATAATCTCATTCCATTATTTAATTCTTCGAACTAGATTCTACACTAGTTTTCGGGTGCCAAGTTGTGATGTACAGTAAAAATCAGACTAGATGTATATCACCGTATTGTTGAATGCATGCGTTCGCAAAGGTCTCAAACCTCCTCCAAGCTACTTCGTCATTGCTAGCATGCGGCGTGTGTATCGCCGTGCCCACTCTATTTGAAATTACTTTGGTCTAAAACAATAAATTGAAAAAATTGAGTCATACTATCAAAAGCTAAATATAGCGAGAAGAAGTCTTAATCGGTCGATTCATTGTTCATATCCTTAGCTTTCTTTGTGCTACATAATCTTCTGCTAATAAATGGCGAGTTTGAATGCGTACGCCCAATCCTTACGGAATGATAAGCGACTTGACAAAGAATATGAAGAAGGTGTGCCATTTTTCGTGCCGCAATTATCAAAGGTCAAGACCAGTGTCATGTGTCAAGGCAAAAGTCAAAAGCTTTTATTCAATTACGAGAGACGATCAAGTGTCAGCCCAGATCCTTCATCTCCCTTGACATTACCATATCGAAAACAAGGGAATCAAAAGTTTTACACAGAAGAGAATTTAAAGAAGCGACAGAAATTAATGGGAAACCCTAAAATTTTGAAAGCCATTGAACGATTTTGGGACACTTTTGCTTGTATAAGACGTGGAGGTGATACGATCTCCATGCGCGAGTACGTGGACGTTTTTATGAAATTATACAAAGCTTTAGTCACTCCTAGTGATTTTTCTATCGGTGAAGCGCGATGCATTGTCGAAAAAGATTGGGCAAAGGATTCTGACAATTGCGAAAGACTGTCAAAAACTCTTTTTGTGAGCGCATTATTTGAGGTGGTGCGTTGAAATCGAAACAAACATTTTTTTTTGAGAATGCAGTGATTCTAACGATACGCTTACAGGTCGATATTTGGACCACAAATATTGGTGTGAAAGAGTATATCGCTTTTCTTAACAAACTTTTCAAACGAGTGACTGTGACGATCTATGATCATGTTAAGATGCAGTGGATGATTGCATTTGCAGAACTTGATACAATTCGGTCGTTCGATGATCCAAATTTTATCGAAGAGAATGGTGAAGAATGTGTTGACAATAACAATGTTACAAATGAAGCGAACGCTGTGCCTAGACCCCCATTTCTTCGAAACAAGACTCGGTCAGCAAGTGCGTTCTTGTCAGCTTCAAATAATGATCGACTACCAGAGCTGAATTTTGCTCGAAGAGGTCAGAACGATGGCTGGAATTCCTCAAGAAGTGACGAACTTAGCTACAGCTGTGATGATCAATTGTTCGAGAATGAAACAGCTAAGACGAGATCGGATGAAGGATCGAAAGACAAGCGAAGGCAATTTGATGACGAGGTGCAGAGTGAACCTTCAACGGCACGGCTCTCTCGTCCGATGTTTCCAGATATTTCACCACCGCACGTTCTACTTCATCTTCCAAACATTTATTTGAATCCTGATCTTACTGATGTACATGAAGCAGAATGTGCAGCACGTAGACGACTTCGACGCAACGCGAGGTTGGTACAAAATGTGCGCCGTATCCTCTCATCGAACCATCAGTTCCAAGCTTAATGCTGTCTCTATTTGCTCCTTTCATAACGCACTCAGTAAAAGACACATCAAAATTCTTTAACCTTGTCTTAGTATTAAATTATTCATCCCATTTTTTTCATGGCACGGTCTTTACGGTTGTGATTTGCTATCTTTGCCTTGTTCTTGTCCTTTCGAGCTCGTTGACGATGCATCTGCTGTGGTGTTAACGCTTCATTCGACTTTTCACCTTGCATCTTTTCATTTCGACAGGCAAACTTGTCCGTTTTTCCGGACGTGTTCTGACCAGAATTTTTAGGTAAGAAATGTGAAACCTTCTCTTCAATTCGATTATCTTTCTCCTCTTCCACCTCGTTCTCGTCAGCTTCGCCCACGATTTCACGATTTCTGTTCTTTATACCTTCCCAAAATGCGTCCTTCTCTTCTTTGGCGCGTATTCTGCGATTTTGTTCACGAATTGCATCTTGATCGTCTAAATTACCACCGTCGCGTACACTAAAGGGCACATAGTCATCAAACTCGTCATTGTAATCGTCGTCATACTCATCAAGCGTCTGGTTACCGTCTTCGTTACCAATCAGACGTTCATCACTTGAGAGTGCAAAGTTGTCCTCTTCTTCATACATGGCAACAAGCTGCTTAACCTTTTCGACCAGTTTCTCATCCTTTTTTTTAATTTGCGGATCATATGTCTTTTCCATCTTTCTTTTACCAACCCATACTCGAGTAGGATCGAGCTTCGATTCTTCTTCAGCCTTTGGAGTAGAGGTTAAATTGTCATGAATCTGTGCTCGAAGTCGTACAAAGGAAGCATCTGAATTGCTTAAATCTTGTGGAACATCAATCAGCATAGGCGGTGGGTTACTTTCCAATAAAAAATTAATCACACCTTCCACATGACAATTTGAACTCAGTAAACAGAGTTCAATGTATCCATCACCTAAATGTGGAAAAAACTCCTTCACCTGCTGCACCATTGGAAGCAAATCCATTTCTTCACCCAATGGATTTTTCGATTCATTCTCATGCTTTGCATCAACTGATTGCACTGAATTTGCCGTTAAATCATCAGCAAGATCATGTGATTGCATCATGGGTATAGTCTGACGTCTTGGAAGCTGTTCAATCACCATCATCAAATACGATAAAATCTCGGTATCAAACTTGTGCCGCTCGAAAAACGCCGTCACATGATTCTTGTACCCACACAAGTACCACAAGTCACTCAAATACGACCCTTGTTCTGCATCTTCAGCCACACACCCAGTAGTAAGAGCATGTAGTCCAGCCAATAGCTCCTCTTCACTTTTTCCTGTTGCTATTGGTTTGCTCATCACAGCATCTATACAACGTCCTAATAATAATAACAAGGTCCATCGAGTTTCCGCAATTATCAAAATCTCATGTGGCACTGCCTTGTCATCAAAAGTCGTTAATTGTGTCTGAAGTCGTGGAAGTACAATCTCGTACAACTGTACAAGTCCAGAAAGTACCGACTGAGTCTGTACCGCTAATTCCAATTGATAGCCACCTAATATAAGCACGTGTAATACAGAACGAGCTGCTGTCATACCACAGAGTGAGATACTTAGCTCGCGGCAGTATCGAATTTGATTCGTTACATCATGACGCTGAAGTCGTTCTACTGTAACTTGTAAAGTTTGCAGTTGCTGGAAGTATAGTTGCTGTAGCTGTAGCAACGTTGCTGAAAATTCAGCAACATTGTCGTAGATGACGGCTAAGAGTTCACCTACTGCATCTGAGTTCTTGACGCTGTATAACTGACAGAATGGAACTAGCCGCGTCACATGTAGCAAACCACAGTCAATTGCAAGCTGAAGTAGTTGTGGCGCGTCTACAAGTCGAAAAACGAGCGAAAATACAGCACAACTAGAGCTCGAAAGCTCTCTGGATTCACTATCATCTTTGATGTCATCTGAACTTGCTTGTAGCGAAGTTCCACGTGTAAAAAAGTCATCAAGTAGCGGTAAAATTTTTTGAAGCATGCATTTATCGTTGAGATAATGCAGCAGCTCGATGTCTGTGGCTGCGATGAGTGGAGAAAGCAGTGACACAAGGGTCATGATAGATTTTAATGAATGTTTATTATCGAAAAAATTCTTGTAAAATATTTTGTTAAATACTGTAATTTTTTGTTATATCGTGGTTTAATTAATTCGAGCGTCATGTGGGGGGCAGTCTCACGGACATTACGCCCTCCTCTTCCTGATTCTCGGAAGTTACGCTGGATTCGCACATTTCAAATTTCATATTTCGACTTATCGCGTCGTCATTTTCACGTATCCTGCGCGATTCTGTCTGAAAAGCGCCGTAACTTTGTGGACAGCTCAGAAGCAGCATTGACCCAGCAACTACAGGATTATCTGAAGCTCGCAGACGATAAGGAGCATGTGATGTATTCAAATCGGCAACTTCCAGCTGTACAAGCAGAAATTCCAATAAATGGCGTCATTATAAGCATGCAGAATGGGCTAGCACGCGTCTCAGGTCTGCGTCATGCCACTATTGGCAGTATTGTAGACGTCACAGACAAGTCAGGTCGATCGCTTAGCCAAGGACTTGTTCTTTTCATGGAAAGGAAAATAGTCCACGTGGCTTTACTCAGTACTAGCAGCATACCTGTACGTACAGGTATGGACGTGACGCTACAGCGTGAGCAGCTTGAGATATCCGGCAGTGTCGCGGCCTTTGCTGGTGCTGTCGTAAATCCTTTGGGGCGACTTGTACATTTTCAGGGAGAGGAAGAACAAATACAAAAATCAGCAAATGATCGGATCAAAGTCACGTGGGGGGCACAGAGTGTACCTGGAGTCATGGCACGGGCTCCACTGCGCACGCCGTTCGAGACAAGTCTGCTGGCTATTGACTGCTTGCATCCAATGGCGTACGGACATCGTTTTGGCGTGCTGGGACCGAAAAAATCGGGCAAAACGCGTGTAGCTTTGGAGATGATTGCTCACCAAGTGGCCAGAGCTGAAAAGATTGGAGAACAACCACCTCAGATTATATATGTATGTGTCGGCAAGAGTACATCGAGGATTCATCAGATTCGGGAGGCGCTGCGGATGACAGGATCATTGTCATACACAACAATCATTGCAGCCAGCGACCAGGATTCTCCTGTTTTGCAATACTTGGCACCGTTCACTGGCTGTGCTGTGGGAGAGTATCTTATGTATAATGGCAAGTCACCGAGAAGTGTTGTCGTGTACGATGACCTGGCGACACATACGATGGTAGTTGAAGGCTTGGTTCAGTCCTTGAATCTACCACGTGCCGCTCACATGGGCCTTAGTGCTCATGCTGTATTGATGGAACGCTCGGCTCAGTTTAAAGGTGCAATCAAGATGACGGATGGCCCATCGCTTACGTCGATCGTGCTTGTCGATGCTCCTGATAGCATGGAGATTCCATCAGAGCTCCAAGAACGTGTTACATCATATGTTGATGACTGTGTCAATCTTGAATTATCACTTGCGCGCAATCGTATTTTTCCACCTGTCAACGTGTTGGCACCAGGTGCATCCGTGCGAGGTCCGCCATTTCAATCAGCTACACGCTGGACGTTTATAAGCCGTCTGCGCGCAAGGATAAACGCGGCTGCACAGGTGAAAGAGAATGTTGAAGTTTCTCGTAAATTGGGATTTGAGATTGAACCTGAGGATGCTGAGACGCTCGAATTTCTAGAGCTTGTTCAGCAATTTTTTACTCAACGGCCTTCATTGTCAATAGCGACGCCAGAGTTGAAAGACACGATGCCGTCAGAGCTAAAGATTGATCTCGGTGCCTTTTTTCTGACATTTGTCGACGTAGCTCAACTTTTTGGTGGAACTAGCGCCGAGAATTTCTCGTTCAACTTGTGGAAGTATCTGCAAGATATTGTTGATATACTTTCTCGACAAGAGAATGCAGATATTTTCCATCAACTCACGACTCATTCACGCACGAAAGCATGGTCGCTTGAACTTCAAGATATTGTAGCTATGGTGCTTATTGAAGAACTTGAGGCCACCAAGCAGCGCCAAACGCATACGTACAAAAAAGAGAAAGCTCAGCACCAGTAATGTCCTCATTAATTTAAGATGCTTTGGTCTGGTCACTAGTGGCATTCTTGAAACAATAAGTTTATACCGAAAACATTAACTTCGAAACTTGAAATTTCAACTCTTACAATTTTGCCGCAATTTATTTCACGATCATAGAACTTAAGTAAATTACAATCTTAAGTAGCTGATCATTTATACCATTTAAAGGGGAAAAGTGTTGATAAATCTTTGCCGATCTTGGTATAAGCTGATGTTGCCCACCTTCACTTGTCTAGGCAATATATATTGGCCTTAACATACAAAGAAGAAGCTGTGAAGCTGCACAACAAGTCTAACAAGCTCAGGATTCTGTGCAGCGAAATCCTTTAGGTATCGGAACATTATTGGAAATTTATCGATTTAAAACTGAGGAGTTACAATTAGACAAAAGAATTGTCTTCAATGATGCGTGGGCGTTACATAATAAGGAACTACAGCTAAGTAGCTTATTAGTCACTGCACAATACAGGCAATGCAATTGCTTGTATGGCAAGTCTGCAAGAAGCATGAGAGGGCACGGCATAGCAGGAGCGCTAGTGCGTCAGTGACATTGTTGGATTTGGTATAGGAACTTCAGGTATTTCAAGGATAGGTTGACATAAATTGCCGCTTGTTTTGAGCACAAAGCCAAATGTGAGCGTCACGATAAATCAGCTGTCATGGTAGGGTTTTCCGCGCAGAAGAGAAAGATTTGTCTTGCATATTTAACAAAGGCTCAAGTCCATAAAATCGGCTTTGCTCATGTAAGATGTCTGATTTGCATGCCTATGCAACCATCTCATTGCCCTTTTGTAAGACCGATCATGAATCTGCTTCGTTCGAATGCTTCCATTTGCTCATCTTCCTTTTGCTCATCTTCCTTTTGCTCATTTACGACAAAATTTGTGTCTTCAACACAACTTTTAAAACTCTATCATACATCGTGATGATTGAGAGAAGCATAGCGAAAGCTCGATGGACAAAACACTTGATGTCTCTATGTTCGAAGTCTGAATAGAAATAAAAATCTTCAAATATTGTTTAGTTAAGCTCTGCACATCACGTAGTCTATCTCTATGAGTTTCCAGCTGGTTGCTCTACCCAGCACACTCAAAACATACTGAGCGTATGTATCTTCTGATTCAGTGTCGCTATCTCATCACAGGACTTTTGATCATCATTAATAGTTTTCTCCAACAAGCCACAGTTATCCTACTCTGAAGATGCGTCTTATATTAATGCTCATCGCTGCAACTGTCGCCATCTCTGGCTATAAGGCCGCGGCCTCAGAAGAAAGACATCTTTCCGATAAGACAAGTGACGTCACTAATCGTTTGGTGGATCCTGAAGAACGAGCAAAAGCTGCAAGATTGGGACAAATGTTTCAACATCAAAAATATCGTGGGAGTACAGTTCCAGCCATCGTGGGCCATATCACAACTCATCGTAACTCAAGAAATAAACAAGTGTAATTTGTAATATGTTTGGAGGAAATTCGTAGTGTAATTGCAGACACAATTAAATATTTTGTTCCACCTCATGTATCTAAAAATGTTAGAATATAACAGCAATTTTTCGATAAATGAATATGGTTATTGCATAGGCTTTTACTAAGATTGAGAAATAAAAAATTGAGTGTAAACATTAACGAATATCATGTTTGCGTTGAATGTGGTCCACAAATCGAAATGTAGTGAGACGTTGAATGTTCACGGTATATTATGAACTCAGAGCAAAGTTTAAAGGCAACAAAACGTGCTTGAGGGTGATGTACTTTCGTAAGTGAGAGGTCTGTGAGTCAGCGTAGGCTGCTAATATTACGCCATGGATGTGATTTCAATAATTTGAAACAAAGATATCTTTAACTAACTTATGCTAGACTCAATACTATATGCTCTAAAATTTCTTGTGCCATTTTTTTATTTGGAGGCTTCAACGAATTTGCTGAACGGTACAGACGGATTGAAAGGTGCTCGTCCGCTTCTCAGCAGAGCGTAAGAACTGATTCTTCTCACGTTGGTGAACACGGACTTCAAGATTCTAAGCTTCTCTGGGCGAGGCGCACCTCACGCCCTAAGCCCTCTGATGCTGGACGTCCTGGACAACAAAGGCCAGCACGGAATAAAGCTTTTTTTCTGGAAGTTTAAGGTTGACATGACCATCGATTACTGCTCCAAACAGAGCCACACCGTGTCCGGTCAAGAAAGGGCACTTATGTGCAGTACTTGGTTAAAAGAGGCTGTTACGGTTTAAAGTTATAGATAACGCAAAGTTCTCACCGCCTTGCCGGGCGCATAGGGTTATTTGAAGTTCTTGTGTACTCGTCAAGCGAGCCAAGAACTGACACACTATGTCCAGGTATTCAAAACTTTCATCGCCGCGATAGCGTCTGACTGTCTCCCGGAGGCAACAGGTGATGCTGTCTAAATAGCGAGTCTTCGAATGGGAGATGCTTGCACTCAAGCCCTCTGTGTCTATCCTACCATTTTAGGACGATACGAGGGCTGCAATAATTGCGAAAACATCTCCTGTGTCGCGTGGACTAGATGGAGCGCTGGGAATGCTAGCTGATTCAGCACAATAGAGACGATGATTAACACCATGCTGAGGAAAAAGATATCTTGATGTCTCAGCGATCCCGTGGCACCCGTAGATGTCTCATTCACAGTAGTCCAAAGCGTTTGTGCCTTGCGTCCCTCTTCGCTTTTAGCTGAGAGGTACCAAGGGTCGGGATCGTCTCACGTAAGGGTGGATTACAAATCCCTCACGCGAGAATATCAAGTTCTACCCACTGGGCTGCCAATCGGGAAAGTACTGGGTTCTATAGTAATCAGTAGCTCACAGCACTTGGAGAAGGAACTGGTTATGGGAGAAGCGGGCATTAAGATTCACTGATGTTGGTTGTTGATATCAGTGCTAAGAGCAGTGAAGATACAGGAGTTTAAGTATCATACAAGTCATTTATGAATAGTAGACAGTATACAGAGTCATTGCAATTGTCGATTTCCGATACCATTATTGTGGGTTTTCGATCGGGTAAATTGAAAGTTTTATCAAATTTTTAAGTGATATTGAGGACTTTGACAATGTCTCAGAATGTCTTGCTCAGAAGCTAGCACTGGGAAACGTCTCATTCAGGGTATGGTGTTCCCTGAACACCACGAGACATGAGTCGACATAAGGGCGAAATAGATGCCACACAATTTGAAATCGTAAAGCATTGGCGAGTCATAGATTTACCATCGCAAGGGTACAGAAGCGCTTTTAGCGCGGACACGAAGCTGCGATAACTTCTGTGCAGGCCTTGAGATTGTCCAAAATTTTAACAATAATTTTGCAGTTTGTTTGAGCAGAATTCGGAGGGTAGAAACAGTAGAATACCGAGGTCTTAAGATGAGACAAAAACGCGAATGAAAAGTAGAAGCGACGGGGTATCGAAATCTTCTGTTCTAGAATCGCTGGAAGAGCGGGTGTAGGCTTGGAGTAGAAGTTCTAAACCCGGAAAATAAGACCGACGTTTCATTCATGTCGTTCAGCTGAGTCAGCACTAAGTGCGATGGGCTCACTATGCGGAGCGGTGAAGCTCCACTTGCATGCGACGAGAAAGATTGTTCACTTGTAAATGAAATGACTGGTCTAGCTCTAGGAATTATAATTCTACCCTCATAATCGCCGGCAAAAACTTTCATCAAGCCAGAATTTTCGATCCGAATATGCGAGCGAATTCGCAAAACAATGAGATGATCAGAATAGCGCGGTAGATACTAGATTTGGAGTTGAGCTCACTCGCGTGGAGCCGCCAACCAACCTCAAAACAATGTTTATGAGAAATATCTTAGCCCCCGCAGAGGATACCGATGTCAGATTGGATGGTTCCTCCCTCAAACGACTGATGCTGAGTATCCTGGTTTTTGAGGACCAGGATGATTAGATTTTATCCTCCCACTGATGGGAGTTTAAATGGATATACTTTCGATTTTGCTCAAAATGGAGCTACAATGCTTGCGATCCAAGCTTGGCAGCCAAGCGTGAGAATGAGAATTCACTCGCAATACCTCAGTTATAGAGCCGTTCCCAACGTGGAAACATTTGGAATATCAGATGTCCCGAATGCTCACACTGCCTGATCAGCAGAATCGGATGCAATCAAAATTCGTATTCGTCTGACAAGCTGGCGGAATATGTCCAAGGATAACATCGCCGCAATTGCGTCTGACCCTCTCCCGGAGGTGCACCGAGACCTTTTGCGCTCACTTCACCCTACCTTTGCCAGGTAGTGATGAATATCGAATCAGTGCGGGGTATCACTTCTGTACCGCGGGGGCATTAGGGGTGCCGGGAATACATGCTTGGGATAGCAATTACAGATTTTAACATGGTTGAAGAGTAAATTTTTGTGTCACATGACAATGGCTCTTACCATAGAAACAATGTAACTTGTGTCTTCTTCCTTGCAAAAAAGCGAGTTTCGATGAGGGAAAGAAATGTTTACACTCGGCAAGGCATGGGGTAAGTGGCGACTTATTCATGCCTATAATAAGCTTAATGCAATCAGAATTCCGAATAAACATTATTTTAAAGAACGTGCTACAGAACCTCATAATAAGTTGCACTTTATTCAGTGCCTTCGGTGTAGTCAATGCATATTTCAATTGCCGATGGAAGATAACGTTATTTGCCTTATTACGGTGAGCTTTGAGCGGATTGCTCGGAAAATAGATGGCTATGCAAAATGAGTTACTCAGTACAACAGCGAATTTATGTCGCGAGGTCAAAAACCTGTCCAGGCCACCATGTGTCTACCTACAAACTTTTTGAATGATATATTCCTCCATGATCGTGCACAGTATGGGTGTCAGGAGGGGGAAACCACATTGAATATGTATTGTGGATACACGTATCCTGGTAGGAAAGGGCTGGTCGCACATGATGGTGTGACCGTACATAGGTGTGGATTACACAAGTTGGTGTAATCACACCGTGGTGTGGCCTCAACTTAACAAAAATCCACTACGTCGCAGGATTGCCCGTATCAATTAGGTTTGAATAAGGAAAACCTAACGTTTTAAATATAGGCGGCTCTGCCGCAAATAAACCAGTTAAATACAGTTCAGATTTTGCACCCAAGAGCGTCTTTATCTTAGCTAAGGTTTTTGAGTAATTTGAAGGTAGTGAATCGCGATCCAGGGTTCTTGTAAAGAACGTGAGGTCGGTGACCTTAGCTTATCTTCCTATAAGCAAAGAGCAGCGGCAGCACCGTCGCACTTCGTAGCACTCGTTGTCAATCTACGCCTGAGTCGTTACGACTGATCTTTTGTGAGGATGAAGCGATACTCTTAGTTGCCCCAGGGCATGCAGGTCTGGCTTATAAGCCAATGTCCTGACTTGGCCCTGGAGGCGTGGGGCACCTCGTGCGCAAGGGCCCGAGGTGATAAGCGTGCCACGAGAGGCGGTTTTAGATGATAAAAATGCTCCGTTAGAGCACCTACAGCAGAAGGTGTCTGTGTCGACTGCGTCCATGACTCCATCGTCAACGAAGAATGATTTCTCTCGACCAAGGCCGCTTATGGTGAGCGTTTAAACCTTTGAGGGTAAAGGATGGGGAGAAACTCCTACTCTGGGCAAGAGAGGCGGAGATTGCTATGGCATCCGCCCAGAACGAGCAACAGCGCGTGGCGCTACCTATCCTCAAGCTCGGGGCCGAGCGCGAGAATAAACACTAGCTTGCGGTGCTTCAGTTGAAGTGGTATCCTCATCCTGGAAGAAGCTGAAACGTCAGCTTTTACGAGTGTGATTCCCGCCTTACCAGGCATATCGCGTGCGATCGTGTTTGCTTGCCGCCCGACAGGGCAAAAAGGAGTTAGTGGACTTTGTCCCAGAGTTAAGAGCTCTCATTGCCGGGATGACGGCTGATCTTCTTCCCGAAGTGGTCGCAGTGACCGTCTTTATCAAGGGCCTCCACACTGACGTGGCCAGAATGGTAGACTTTTGTGTGCATCCGTCTTTTTTTTAAAAAGCGGTGAATGTGGCATTGAATGCCGAATCCAACTTTAAGTCGGCGCAACTTGGTTGAAATGCACACCCTCAGAGCTCGTGGAGCGGGCCTGAGCCAATGGATCTCAGCTATGCTGAGAAGAGGAGGGAGATCTCCGAGCTGCCGAGCAGCGTTTGAACACTCGACGGTGATTTGCCTGTGGAGACTCCCGTCAACTTCGGACTGGTTATCCCCTGCGCAAGGCGCGTAAAGGCTCGTCGAACCAACGTCCCGCTTTTAATTAGTCTGGTTTGTCGCGGGGAAACGAAAAAAACAATAGGCGCGGGACGCCCTACTGGGGAAGAATTGAGTTCTATTGTGCCTCAAAGAGAAGAGGGCGACAGGGCCCAGCCCCGAAGAGCACTGTGCTCTTGAACACGGAACGTCTATGCAAGTCGGGCTTGCTGACCGCAAAGGCGACCGTGAAGGGCTTTGAGAATCCGTGGAAGATCCCTATCGATTTCGAGGCGTCGGGCAATTATGATCGACGCTCCACGATCAAAGAAAGTCAGCTGTATGCCGAGGCGCTGGAGGCGCGATTGAGTGACATCGTCACTGTTCGTTTAGCGACGGGACCTGTGTCACTGTGCCGAGAGAGTCCTGTGGATCTCGGTGTCAACGTTCTTGACTTAGATAGCGTGGAACGCTGCTTGGTCTTAGACTTGGATGTGCGGTATGACCTTATCATTGGTATGGCATGGTTGGAACACCATGAGCCATGGATCGACTGGGGGTCAGAGACTTTAGGCTCTACGCACATGTCACGTGGTAGAGCTTTGGTGAGTCATAAACCCACCACTGCTAGAGAAGCGCTATTGGCACGGGCACTGGACCGGGACGGTCAGTGTGCTGGATGTCGGATTATCCAAGTTGTCGCACACCAAATGCGTTTTGGACGTGAGTCCTGAGCGTGGCTCGCGGGCTGAACGTGGAGTGGCACGTAATCCACTGAGCACTGCT